CTAGAAAACTAATACAGAAGAATAAAGGAGAAAACAATTTATAAACAGAAAATAAAATAAAATAATACTGAGAGCAAGAAAAATGAACTGATCGTTTGATCAGTATAGACGATTCCTCTAGATAAGTACAGGTAAATACTGTCGAATACTACTGAACACTGAACTCGGGGAAACTCTGATGAAGACTGCCTTTTCTTGCGCACCTTGCCCTTATATAGCTTTCATAGTCGCGATGATCCACCACATAACCTCCGAGAGCGTCCCCTCAGGGCTATGCTTGACTTCGTCACTGTCTGCTGCCCTCAAGTATTTCGCGCGCTGTCGCGACACTCCCAAGAGAGGCGAACTGACGAGCGCCTAGGCGAAGAAAGACTTTAGGTTGATTGTTCTTGTCAAAACGACATGCTACCTGAGCTACATAGATTTCAACAACTGCATTGTGGTCAGTATCCGCCGGTATCATTGCTGTAAAGGGCGCACATTTGTATCGAGAAGTCAGAAATTGCCTCTGGGTTGTCGTGCCGAATGAACTCGTCTACTCTTGCTTTTGAAACAACGGGGTGTCGGCATAGGGGCATCACCTCACAACATGTCCAAGGGTAAGTGGCTGCAATTCTTGCCAAGGTGATGACTTGTCTTCTGTTTGAGCTTTTAGTTGTGGAATCCTTGATATTATACGCATCGCGCAAGCTCCTCACGATGTCTGCGAGTTCAGGAGAAGTTTTTTTGATGATTTTTGTTATTTATTGCCCCTTTTCATGAAGATCATACACATGAGGTCTTCAAACATACTTTTGAAGCGATCGCGAGAATTAAAAACAATGTTTGAGACAACGAGGAGGTCGAAACCCGCATAGTCGGAATATGTCCATATCCACCTGACGAGGTCAAAATGTTTAACCCAGATATTAGGATGCATTAATCGATAGGCATCTTGAAAACTCCACTCTTTCACTTTCTTTACCCAGTTTGGGTGTTTGATATCTGGAAGCGGTATGATCTCGCCAGG